GTTAGCAGGATCAAACGTCATAAGTGATAAAAATGAAAAAAAGAAAGCAAATAAGAGATTAATATTAAATTAGCAGGACCAAAATGATAAAAATAACAAAAATGAAGAAATGAATGGGATACATTTATTGCTGAATTTGTACTAATTTGTACTACTTAAATTAATTCTAGTTATTTCCATATTATTCTTCTCCTATAGCTTCAAGAGGAAGTTGTTTCTTTTCCAATTATTTAACAATCAAAGCAATAAAATTGAATTAAAATTTATTTGGTACTAGTTTGTATTCGCGAAACTAAGTGTGTCATTTAAGGGGGGCAATACTTTTAGACCGATGAAAATAGGCTGATTTTTGTGAATTTTTTTGTATAGGATATCTTTGTTTTGCGTTTTTGAAATTTCACGTATAATTTATTATAACTATTGCCTATTACACAATATTTTTTGTTTTTAAATACATTTAAAAATGGCGGAATTATAACAGTCCTTCCTGGAAGTGTTTGGCGCGTCTCGTGAATCGGTGTGGGTTCTACCCTTACAAGGAAACATATCGAACCGCGACACACCGATTTTAATGAAACTTATGTGAAAGATAGTTCTCAAAAAAATATTTGACACTTATTTTTTTTTATCGGCACATGAGGCAATAGCATGTGTAACGTCCCTAGAACCTAACAAGGAAACATATCGAACCGCGACACACCGATTTTAATGAGACTTATGTGAAAGATAGTTCTTAAGAAAATATTTGACACGTATTTTTTTTTATCGGCCATCGTTCACATTAAAGGGGTGAAAATAGCCCTCGAAGTTGGGGGTTGAAACCATGTTTTTGGGAATATCTCCGGAACGAAAGAAGATAATTGAATTCTTTTTTTTGTAAATTGTTCGTCTTTAGATAGGAAATTTTTGTGCGTAAAAAAATTTCAAGAAACTTTATTTGTTTAAATAATATTTTAAAAATTTATCATTTTTGTTTAAATTTTTGCACTAAATGTTGATGTATTTTTTTGCAACTTCGTGTACGTAAACTATGGACAAAAATATAGGATACGTGTTTTTGGAATTTTTTGTTTGTTGCAATGCTTATTAGATATATAATTTAACATTACCTCCTGTGAAGAGGGGCAATCAGCAGTTTTATTAAAAATATCATTATTTTTACAATCTTTTACATTATTTTAGCGATTTTATACCTCTTCAAAATGTGTGAAATTAAAGAAATGGCGCGCTTTTAAAGAAAAACTTTGAATTTTATTGAAAATTTTTGCACTATTTTGCAATAAAAAGGACTTTAATGTTCAATTTATTTCATACATTTAGGTTCATATGTTAGATACTATTGTCATGGATATATGCACAAAATTTGAGCGCGATTGATAAACTAGTTTTTGAGTTATCAGCCACACCAATTGTAAAAATGTAGTTTTGAGAAAAACGCGTTTAAAGTTTCAGTCCTCCGTACTAAACGCGTGTGTACCCGCGGCGCTAATCGGCCATAATTTCAAAACGGTTCGGTATTTTGGTTTAAAATTTGGAGACCATATTTTTAAGATGTTGGACTAACATTTTATGGAAAAAAAAAATTTTCAATTTTTTAAGATTCTAAAGGTATTGCCCCCCTTAAGAAAACGTCAACAAGAAAAACATGCTGGTATAGAACTTTTATTTATTTTAACCGCCTTAAAATTGCGTATTTTACTCGATGTGTATTGATTAATATTATTTTGCATTTCAATATTGAGCTATGCTTCGTGATTTAGTTGTGAATTACATTGTTATCTTTCATCTCCTATTAAGTAAGTTAATATGTTGTTTCATTTAGGAGTCAGTTTCATGACGATTCTAACTCGTCATTCAAAATGGAACAATATTTAACGTGTTACTTCTTGTTTATATGAGAGCAATTAGTATGAGTTATAACAAAGTGTTTCTTTCAGTGTTTCAGTAAACATTGTTTGTGATACACTAGCCCCATAATGTTACAAATAAGAAATATATTTTATGAAAGTAATAATGAACATTTTTCGGAAAGCAGAGACTTTGAGAAATCTAATAAAGAATTTTTCAGTGATCATGCCGCTGACGAATATGTACAATGAATTACAAAGTGCAGATGATGAAGATAATAGCAAAGTAGGAAATTGTAGGAATTGGTAAACTTGAAATTAACATTTCTCTGAATATTTCTTTGAACCAAAACTATTTTTAATTAATTGTAAAAGATACATAAACCATTTTTTACTCATTCAACGCTCTCACTTCACACTCATCTTTTTCTTTCTTCTTTTGTTACAGTCTTACCAATCTCCTCACGCCTACCAACCTACACACTCCTACCAACTTACTCACTCATGCCAACTCACGCACTCATAAAAAAACCAACTTCACAGAAATAATGATGATGGTGAAAAAATATCAGATTTCAAATACGCATCGGGCACTTATTGAACTTTGATAGTACATATATTTTATCATGAACCATTGCTAAAATAATGGATTTGGGAAAGAAAGAAAATGTAGTTGATATAAAATGTTTTTTTGAAATACCTGGTATCAATTTTGTATACCTAGGTTAGGTGGTAATCTATGGTAAAATTATATGTGTTTCATAAGCAAGGATTTTTCCAAATAAATCAGTATGCAAACGGTAAGTGTCTGTGTTCTATCCTGACTGTAGACATTTAACTGTGAATTTCTGTAACTGCTGAAAGGACTATATTCAAATAGCATTCTTTGTTTAGACTTAAATGTCAATGTAATAATATATTAATGATATTGTCATACACTCAAAACATATTTCGAGAAAAAATGTATTCACGAAAATATAATATTGCTTATAATATAACCAATTTTAAACAGAAAGTTGTTATTTAATTCAATAAATATATACATGTTTGTTTTTTATGCTTGATAAACGATTACTTTACGGAAGATGATTCGATCAGAATGAAATCGTTATTTATTTGATTTTGTATAATATGTAATGTGGTATTGTAAAATTATTGATTTTGCATATTGCATTATATAAAATATTTATCCGTTGGTTCTAGTTCTAAATTATTTTTGTAATTTTTTGAAGTTATTTAATGCCCAATATTCTTATTGTAAGTAACTTATTATTTGTTACTTTTATTTATATGTATTCATCAGAGTCATACAGCAAAAATCGATTTAACTGAAAAAATATTAAACACTGATTTTACCTTTTATTTAACTTGGATTAGTGTATAGTATAAATTTGATATAGCAAAAATGGGAAAGTTGCATTTTAATTTAATAGTGATAATTGGTAATTAGGAAACATAAAACAAGTCGTAATTTGTGCCAAACGAAAAGTTATTGTTTAATATCGATCAGTAATTTGGTTATACACTTTTAAGTGTAAGCGATTCAAGATGTTAACAGAGATACAAGTGACCTTCAAATAGGTGACATATTCCAAATATTTTTTTCCAAACATCATCAATATTATTAATATTTTCTCGATTTGTGCATTCGGTGTGTGTCTGATATATTTGACATCTTTGTCAAAATCTACTTTCTTTTTTACTTAGCTTTCATCTGTTCAAAACTTTTTTTTTTTTAACTCCACTATACATTACAATTCGTCTCATAGAGACATTAGGTAAATTGTTCAATCGAGTTGAGTGAATTAAAACACGTAGATGCACGTCCCATTGGAAGGCATCTGAGCAAGATTATATTGTAATTTGTTGTATTAGTAAATCCTTGGGATGCTTCCTTTGTAGTCTTCTCGGCAATTCCTCGGCATACAAGCCATTTGCCAATGCGCTGGGAACTGCGCATAGACAAGACAGACTCCGCAGTCTTAACTTGTATCGCTCGGTTAGTCTTAACACTTCTTCTTTTACGGAGATTACCTGTAGATCTTTGCATATGTCTTCGTTACGCATATACCATGGTGCGTTTACTATTGTTCTGAGTATGATAGATTGCATGGTTTCTAGTTTATTTATGTGAGTGCCTGCTGCTGTGCCCCATAGTTCGATTCCGTATGTCCAAATAGGTTTTATTATTGATTTGTAAATTAAAAGTTTATTTTCTGCACTTAATTTAGAGTATGTGCTAGTGAGTCAGCACATATTCCTTCTTTTTATGCGAATATGTTCAATTTTGCTTCTTATATGGTGTTTCTACGTTAATTTTGAATCCAGATGCATACCTAAGTATTTTACAATTTCAGTTTGTTTTATTTTATCATTTAGTGTTACCGACGGAACAGTGCTTTTCTTTAGGGTAAACGTTATATGGTTACATTTGTCAGCGTTTACTTTTATTCTCCATTCACTTAGCCATTGTTCAAGTTTTAGAAGGTGTTGCTGAAGTATATAAGATGCAATATTAGGGTCTTCGTGAACGACTAGAATAGCTGTATCGTCCGCAAACGTAAATATTGCAGTTTCCTCTGTAGTAGGTACGTCAGCAGTGGTGTATAGCGTGTAAAGTAGGGGCCCTAATGTACTACCCTGTGGAACTCCTGCCTCAATTTGATACAAGTTGGAACAAGAATCTTGAATTTTTACGAAAAATGTTCTATTTTCAATGTATGACTTGATGAGCTCGTAGTACGAAGTCGGGAAATTTTGTTTAATTTTGTATAACAGGCCGACGTGCCACACCTTGCCAAATGCTTTTTCTATATCTAGGAAAAGCGCAGTGCAATATTTCTTTTGCTCGGGGGCGAGAGTGATTTTGTTTATAAGCCTATGGATTTGTTCAATCGTGGCATATTTATTTCTAAATCCAAATTGATGCGGAGGGATTAAGTTTTTCTCCGTAATTATCTTTTTTAATCTAATTAAAATTATTTTTTCTAATAGTTTTGACAATATGGGAAGCAATGAAATCGGTCTGTACGATGAAGGTAGGTGGAGATTCTTATTAGGCTTAGGTATCATAATAATTTAAGCCCTTTTCCAGATGGTAGGAAAATACCTAATTCTTAGCACAGCATTGAAGATGATGGTAATCAATCTTACCGTTTTTGGTGGGAGTTCTTTAATAATTTTTCCGTTGATTAGATCAAACCCAGGAGTTTTCTTTATGCGAAATTCTGCAATTCGTTTTTTTCTGCATTTAGTTTTTTAACTTCATTGAGAGTGGTTTTAGGGAGGCTTTGAGAGCGATCACCCCCGGTAACAATGGGTGAAGTTGTACCCAAGTTGGTTGCAGAAGCGATCGTACTGTTCGGTTTAAATGTGTCCTGTAGATGATCAGCAAAAGTGAAGGCCTTTTCAAGGTTATTTTTGCCCAACTGCCATCGGCTTTTCTTATAGGAGGAGAAGGAATGATTGGTCTTTTTAGCCTTTTAGTAGCTTTCCATAACGCATATCCTGTATCTTCGTTAGGAGATAGATTAGAGATGTAGGCATGGAACTCTTCACTGCAGTGGTTTTGAATTAATGACTTTACCTCTTTGGTGATTGAATTTAATTTCTTTTTGTTTAGTGGAGTTTTTTGTTTCTGCCAGATGTATTTCAGCTTCCGTTTCAATTGTATTTTTTCTATTATAATACTGAGGATAAGAAGAAAATTTCCTTTCAGTTTTTATTTGTTGAGTAGCTGTCCGACATGCATTCTGAATTAGGTTTGTAAGATTTGTTCGGGGGTCTTCAGAGGTATGTTGCAGTTTATTTTTTCTTCCAAGATTTCTTTAAATTGTTGCCAGTTTGTGCTAACATTGTATAGATAGGGTGTTAATTCAGTAGATGTAACCTTATGCAGGTAATCAAGTAAGATCTGAGAATGATCAGAGGTAAGATCTAGGCAGGTTTGCACTTTAAAATATGATCTATTTAATCCTTTAATGATTGCGAAGTCAAGTAAGTCTGGTGTTTTATTATAGGCCGAGGGCCAATATGTGGGTTCGCCCGTTGATAACGTATCTAAGGATAACTTTTGTATTATTTGTTCTAATAGTTTACCTCGCGGTGAAATTGTTTTTGATCCCCATAAAGTGTGTTTGGCATTATAATCTCCACCTACTATATACTTATTTCCCATATCCTGAAAAAAGTTAGCGTACTGTTCAGCTGTTATTTTATGTTTTGGAGGGCAGTAGACAGTAACTAATGTTATGTTTCCATGAGCATGGTTAATAGTTATTATTGCTGCCCCACCGCGGGCGTTGCCGGATGGGTGTTTGGAATCATAGATATTATAATGGGGAATTTTAATATAATTTTTTACTGTGAGGTGGGTTTCTGCAATGAGCATTACGTCAATTTTATTTAGGTTTAGGAATACTTTTAACTCTTATATTCTTTGTTGTAGTCCGTTAGCGTTCCAAATTGCTATTTTTATTTTTTGTTATTGTTATTAAGCACGCGTGTAAGAAGCTCTATCATTATATTAATTTGTTGTGATTGTTGACTTAGAAGTTTGGTTTGTTCGAGAAGCATGGTCGTTATGAGCTCGGTATTTCTAGATGATTGTAGTAATAAAAGTTTAATATCTGATATGTCGGTCCCTGATTCATGAGTTTGTGTACTGCGAATTGCGTCCTTTTGAATTTCTTGGGTTCTTGTTGCTTGTGCGTAGGTCTTTGTATATGTGCTATGTTGTCCTGAGGCGGTATAGTCAGTGACAGTTTGAGTGGGAGGTTTTGAATTTTCAGTGGCAGTTCTAATTCTGAGTTTGGGATGTAATTTTTGTTGCAACTGTTTCCTTACTATACATCCTTTATAATTAGCAGGATGATTTCCTTGGCAATTAGAGCATTTAACATTGTCTATTTTCCCTGCTAATGGACAGTCTGTAGTAAGGTATTTACCCGCACATTTGACGCATGCTGGTATTCTGTTACAGTAATTTCTAGTATGACCATAAGCTTGACAGCGTAAGCATTGAGGTATATCTCTTTTTGCTCTGGGAGGTTCAAAAGATACTATGGTGTTAAGTAATCTATCGATTTTGTAAATTTCTTTGTTATTATTTTTGGGTTCGAGTTCAATGAAGAAAAGTGGTAGCGGTTTTTTTGTGTCATGTTTTACTATGTTATTTATTTGTCTTACCTGGTGGTTGAGTTCTTTTAATTCGGTAATGATTGAGTCTATGTTTGCTTTAGGATGCATACCTCTTAATACTACTTTATAGCTTCTGTCCTTCTTTAACTGATATGTATGAAAGGTCGCATTCTTCTCTTTCAAAACTTTAATAATTTTACTATAGGTTTCAGTAGTGTTAGCTTGCACCTTGACGTAGTTATCTTTTTGTTGCTTTAATGTAAAATTTTTGTCAGCTATATTTTTTAGAAGTTCCATAAGGGGTTCTATAATTAGGGCCTCAATATATATAGGCGGAAGTTTTTATTGGAGATTATTATTTCTTGGTGTACCGTTTTCTGCAGGCTAATCAATAGTTTCTTGTAGGATACTAAATTGATTTTGAGTAGGTACATTCGTTAACCATTTTTCGTTGTTAGATTTTTGTAGATCCATTGTCAGATAATTAGGTGGTTTGAGTTTTCGTTTTTTGTTATTCGGGGTGTAAGTTGGTAAGCTTGCTGACGGTGTATCCGTTTCCGTTAAATTTGGGGTAATTTTTGAATTATTGTTGTAACGATGATTGTTTATGAAGTAGTTTTCACCAAGTTTGGTGAATTTAAAGTAAAAATCAGTCGATTTTGCTTCTGCCATTTGAAGCTAATGTTAAACTTGCCAGTTGGCACTGGCAAGATAACCTAACGGTTATCACTCTTAAACTAACTAAGAATAGCACAATAACACAATATTAACACACTGGTAATATGTATACACTTCGCGTAAACACGTTTGATTACTCTGAAGATTCATACGAGACTGTTCAAAATTGGAATTATCTGGTCACTATTTACAAACTTTAATAAAGCAGTATGTGTCATTGTTTCTTTATAATAATTCTTCGTTAATCGTACCGAGAGCAATTCGTTTTCCTTAATTATGAAGCGGCTACAGAATCCGTTGTGAATAGTTAATATTTACCGGATCCTCCTTCGTGAGTTCTACCACTCTTTTTCGTGGAAGTTTTCTGTGCTTATAAACTGTTTGAGAATTTTTTGCCAAAGGCACTACCGTTTTAATCGCCAGCGACATTTTAAATTAACGCGCTCTCGTGCAAGGTAGTCGATCTTCTAACGACCTCCGATTTCAAAGAAATCTGCCGCTAATGGAAATAACACGACGTCGGAGAAAACGGGTCGCACGAACTTCTACTTAATTAATGCTTCCTTTAACTAATAAAATGCTTGCGTTCTCCTCGCAATTCCTATGCCCTTTGGCACAGAGAAAACTAAGCAACGACTGTACTGAATGTGTTACGACCTTTTAACTAGACAGGAAATTAAAAAAGTAATTGTTATGTCTCGTAAAAGTGAGACAGAATCATAAGAGAAACGAGACTATTAAGAGGTGATGCAAAATAACAGCATTTATTACAAAATTTTGCAGTATTTGTTATAAAATATTACAATATTTATTATTTCCAACATTTTAAATTATGCTAGACTCCGATTTCTTTAAATTTTCAAAAAGCAGCGTGACTTCATTTAGAAAATATGCTTGCGATTATAACGGATTTGTTTCCAAAATCTTACGGGGGAAATTACCGAACCATGGAACTTACTTATTTACGTAACTTTAGCATTTTATAGAAAACATCAAACTGAACCTTTGTATATGGCAGTTTGGGGACAGATTGTTTAAAAGATATTAGCAATTAACGGAAGTTACCCTTTAAATTTTAAAGTAAAACACATGTACAACACATGTGCACGATATATGTATTCAATCGATAGATTAAAAGATATACAATTCAAATACCAGTTACCTCTTCTTTCTTTCATTTAAATATTTGATTATATTTAAATACACATAAAGTAGTGTGCATAATTATACAATGATATAATATACGATATTATTGTATATAATGGATAATAAATTACTGTTAGAGTTAATAACTTTATTCAGTGATAATTAATAGTAAAAGTAAAAGTATTCTTAATTAGACATTGAATGAAATAGTTCGAGGCTAAGGCCCATAATTACAGATGTCACTAATTTAGGCTAAGGCGTGAATTATAAAAGCACTTTTCAACAATTACTAACATATTGGCCCTAAAAAAGTGTCATGTTTAGCTTTTTCGAAGTAAACTATTGTAATAAAAATAACATTGGGATTTCACACAGTAAAAATATAAACCTAGTTAGACTTTCGGAAAAATCTTATTTTTGTGAAACTCGATTTTTTACCAATATATCGTTTTATATTAATAGGTTGAGAATAAAGGTTATTATAAAATATATTAACTGCCGCATAAAAGGTACGGACGACAACACCACCACAGCATACAGGTAAAATATAAGATCTATTTTGTTTACATGACAAACTTAATAAATTTAATTTGTATTAAAAGACTTATATCTTTTAACACAATTACGTGTATATTATCAAGTATAAACTTGTTTGAGCTACAATTTGAGTCATATGAGCTGTGGGAATGGGATAATGAATAATGTCTGGGAACCCATTAAGATTTTATCATCACTGGACATTCTACTGAATGCAATTTTTGTCGCAATTGCACCAAAAATGCGGTTTTACTCCTGGTCTCAGCAAAATAGAGTTATCACGCTCTGTGGTTTGTGAGCATTGCTTTATCGCAAAATTTATTTTGCAAATACGCAACGCAATCTGAATATATAAATAACAAAATTCTCTACATTTAAGTCACTATTTGAGTTCCTAGATTTCAGAAAAAACTGATAAATATAAGGGTCTGACGAATTCCTAGCATTCGATAAAAGTGAAGAGGTCTGAGGATTTTTTCGATAGATTATTTTTCAGTATTCTATATAGAAAATGGTAGAAAAATGACTGTTACTATTTTGTATTTTATACGGTTGACACTTCTTTGCGTCAAAAATGTTCTAAATGCCTTACTAACTTACTAAATCATTATCGCATTTGCCACGTAACTTTTTATTTTTTAAATTTTTGCGCTTTTAGTACATTTTTGTTGTATTTTAAAATACGTTTTCGCATTCATCAAAAAACGATATTCGCGTTTAGCATATTAATACCAGTAAAATGATATGTTTATTACGTGTCAAACATTCGGAAATGGACAGCGATAAAGTTCAGCCAAACATGGTTGCTTAAAGACAGTAATATGTTAGAAAAGAGATAAATGCATGGAATGCGAGTCCCAGTTAGGTTGATTTGCCATATACAAAAGCTTATGCACAAAATTAATAAATTATTAGTTATTTATGACTCATACGATCACTTTGTACGTAAACATAATTGTATTTCAGTTCAATGCAATGATTATTTTCATATTCAACGGAACATGATTGATTTTATTCATTATTTTACTATTACTTGTTCACTGTTTATTCAAGTTCTTTCGTCACTCACTTCATTTATCACTTTATTGATGTTTTAATTTCTAAAAAAATGTTCGCATGTATTGCATACTGTTAACTGTTATAAAACCGGTAATATTTAATCTTATTGTTAGTTTCGAACATAAGGAAGGTAAAATCTTAAGTCGAGTTTATTAGTTATCACAGAAGAACAATGTTATTGAGATTAATGTCATATAATTATAACTTCTATTATAAGAAACTCATTGAAAAAAATCATCATCAATTAGTGCTCTTTCAGACACTATTCAGGAGTTTCTGAACAAAGTATGATTGATTACCTGACACTCTTCACATAAAATATTAGCTTTCGTATTCTGGAATAATTTTACATGCGCCTTCTTGTAAATTGACCTATAAATTACTAGAGAATACCAATGAAGTGAAAAGTCCACAGATTTATTTATGACATAATTTGATCCTAAACGTAATTTAACTGGCACCATTTTTATTTAATATGAGTACACTTTTCGAGACAAAAGAAACTTATATGGGCCTTCAGAAATATAAATAAAAATTTAAGTATTTACATGAACAATATACTTCGTACAAATTCAGTATACATTTTTGTTTAGTATATTTATTTACGTCGTAAAAACAACTATATTTGATTCCACGTATTTTGATATAAAAGCATTATTCAAGTAAACAATTCGTAAGATTTTGTATTCGTAAATGATATCCATCGAGTCAAACATATGGGCGGTACAATTTTAATTGGTTCACATTGAAAGCGCTAGTAGCGGGCGATATCTGTACTTTGATCTTTTTCACGCAGCTTTGCAAATTATGTGAAAATTAGGAATTAAACTG